TGTACCACTTGCCTGTCTAGAACATTCTGAGAAAGCACCATAGGGTATAAATATCTTTCAAGACTAATTAGCCAGCTTGTTGGGAGAATGTTACTTTCTGTAAAGTTTACCCTTTGCTGAAGTACACTAAAGGTATGTCTTCAGGTGTTCCCTGATGTATACCTCCTTCTGACTCTAAGTGACAGAAACAACACTGATTTAATTGTGCCACATATCTCTGGCATCACCACTCTAAACAGCAAACAGCCTGTTGAGCAAGCTGACCCCTGCTCTGGAGACATGACAAGGACTGGCTTCTAGAGCTTTCTCATCAAACTATGGGAAGGTAAACCAGGGAGGACTGGCAATGGTGGGATATTGTACTGCAGTGACACCATGGATTTGAATCCTGGTTCTGCTGCTTCAGCTGGCTGTAGGATCTTGGGAAGATCTTTGTTCCCCTCACTTGTAGAATGGGGTTACCAGTGCCCATCCATCGCTGCAGTCATTGTCTGGCACCTTGCCAGTTGACTTAAAAGCCTGCAAGTTGTCTGCAAGCCTGTGAACAGAGTGACTGAGAGGCATTGGCAAACCTGGCAAAGCAAAGGGCTGCTTAGGAGGCAGGGAGCCCCCTGAGCCAAGGAAGACACAGATGCAGGGCAGGGAGTGGGACCTGTCCTCGGGAACGTCGCTGGCCTGTTCACTCTCATGACCCACGATCCAGGATGGAGCATTTGCCTGGGCTTGTTCAAGCCCAAGTCTTTACCTGATGGTGCCTTTTTTTTTTTTTTTTAATTAAAGATTTTTTTTTTTCTTAAGGGTTATTTATTTTTGAGAGACAGAGACAGAGCGGAGGGCCAGAGAGAGAGGAAGATACAGAGTCTGAAGCAGGCTTCATGCTCCAAGCTGTCAGCCCAGAGCCCAATGTGGGGCTTGAGCTCACAGACTGCGAGTTCATGACCTGAGCTGAAGTTGGTCACTTAATCGACTAAGCCACCCACGTGCTCCTACCTGGTGGCGCATCTTGACAGACATTTCTGGGGGAGAAGGCCCACACATAGGGGTGCTGTTGGCTATAGGGGAGCAGTACCTGCGGACAACACCAGCTCCACACCGTGCAGGGTCAGCCGTACCCTCCTGCCCCCTTGGCCTCTGCTGACTGGCAAAATGCCAATAACGCAGCATCCAACATGCTCAGCCTAATTCTTCCGAGTTTGGGGGTCCAGGAACAACATTAGGGATGCAGTCTCCCTCTCTCTGCTCTGGGGCTGTCACCGTCTAGGTGTGCTGCAGAGGTAGGAGGAGGCAGGTGCCCTTGGGAGATCTTAAGGAGTGGCAGGTGGTTTCTAGGTGACCGAGTGCTGGGGGTTCATCATCTGCAGCCGTGGGGTCGAGGCGGGCCTCTCCAGGGTCTGGCAGCGTGCTTCCTTCTCAAGTGGAACTGGACCATCAGATGACTCACACCCTGGTTCACCATTCAAAGACACATCCAGGCAGCTGTGTTTAAATGATGAAAACAGCCAATTAAAAATGGCCAATATGGCAGTTTTGACAGTTTTAGTTACTAATTCCAATTTCATCACAGCCACCCAGACTACTATGACATTTAGCGGGGGCCAAACTGTCTAAGAAGTGGAGGGTGTGCGTTACCACATACTCAGGTGCCTCTGTTCACACAGAATGTGCAAAAGTTGTGCTCACCCCAAATCTCACCTCCTTGAGAAAGCTCTTCCTGATGGAGCGGGAGCCCAGTGAGTACTTCCAGCCCGGCACACTGAACACAGCCTTCACCTGAAGGAGAGGGCGAAGCAGGCCTCGGGGCTCAGCGTGCAGCCTCCTCCCTCTCACCATGCCATTGAATCCCCCACGGCTGGCCACCTCCTCAACATACAGTCAGAGGCCCAACCACCCCATTGTGGGTACTTTCTGGTCCTAATTAGGTGTCACAGTTCTTCTGTGATGTCAGCCCTGGTGTCTCCCAGAGCACTGACTGTGCAGTCAAAGCCGTCAGGTTGGCCAAGAGTTTGATCTGTCACTGGTCAGCCACATTCAAGGCCACAGAGCTGACAGGCGTTGCGTCAGACCTGAGCCCTGACCTTCTGACCCCATGCCCTGTGTCCTTCCGGGGAGTTCCACCCCACTCACCTCCTCAGCCTAACAGGACATCCTTGGAGAAAGATGAGGCTCAAGGGCTGTGTCTGACCTTTAAAATCTCCGTGGATGAGACTGACCAATGAATGCAAATATGTTCTTCTATGAATATAAGATCGCATCACGTACAGACCAGACCTTGGCACACTATGGGTGTATATGATGAATATGAGTAAGTGTGACAGTAATGAATTATGTAAGTTAACAAATGAATGGCATGAAGCGTAAATACACGTAGGAGACACTATCTAAGGGGCTGAGGGAATAAGCATGTTCTGTAATGTTTGGGTGCCGTACACACAGCACCTTCCACAGCACCAAACATTCGTACACACAGGCTCGTGCACACAGAGTATACACGAGTTCATATACGTATACTTCCACACGGTGTAGTCATACATGCAAGCACTTGTGCACATACATGTGCACATACAAACGCCCACACACAAGTACACATGGACACGTGTTCAGTCCCACGTGGACGCACAAGGACACACCTCCTTGTGTGTCTGAGTCATGTACTGGGGATTCCTATCGTGACCATCTGGCCAGTGCTCCAGAATGAGCCATGAACAGTCTTTTTTTTTTTTTTTTAATTTATTTATTTTTGAGATAGAGTGAGGGAGAGAGAGGGAGAGAGAGAATCCCAAGCAGGCACTGTGCTGAACTGTGAGATCATGACTGGAGCCAAAGCTGAGAGGGCGCCCCTATAGGCTTCTCTTAGATGAGGAAGTCAGGGAGCTCAGCCTGGGCTCTGGGACTTGGTCTGCTCTTCCTACTCCGCCCTCTCCTCCACCTGCTCCTTTCTTCTGCCTTGAGCTGCTTGCGCCTTCAGCAGAGCTGAGATCTTGTGCTGGTGAAGCCGTCCGCACCTTTGTGGGCTGTGTGCCTCCTCCCAGTGTTCTGTCCCTGTAGGTTCCTTGCAGCCCTTGCGGTGCCTCCGCAGGGTGAGGCCCGGGACAAACAGCGAGCGCCCCCGTGCCCTTTCCGTGCGGCCCCAGAGTAACAGTCCTCCGGGACGCAGCCCCGGGAGGGGCCCGGAGCTCTTCGGGGCCCTTCCGAGGGACCGTGCCCACGGTGACCGGCACTGGCGGCAGAGGCCGGGGCTAGTGCCGGCTCCCGGGCCCGGGGCGTCACAGGCTTCGCTCGTGTCCTGCACCACCCGTGGGCCTGTTGCGCAGGCGTTGCCTTCTGGCCCGTCTGGACCCCGCTTCCTTCTCTGCTGTTTCTGTCCGGCCGCGCCCTCGCCGAGGCGGGTCCCTGCGCGCACACGCTGCGGAGCAGCGGCTGTCTTCAGGCCCCGCTCGGAGTGCGTGGAGCCCGCTCACCACCGGATTCTGCTTGGGGAGCAGCGCTGAGCGAGCCCCGGGGCCGAGGCACTCCGTGGAAGAACACCCGACGAGCAAAGAGCACCACCCGATTCTCCGCAGGTTGGCCGCCTCCTGGGGGTGCTACGGGCCCAAAGCGCGGATCTGCGGGCCCGTGTGTCGCGAGGCCACGGCTGCTCCTGCCGCGTCCGCACAGGGTGGACGGCGCTCTCTCTGGAGGGGCAGTTCCCTGGGCCGTCGGGTGGCAGCGCTCCCTTCCCCTCGGATCGGCGCACAGGGAGGGCTGCTGTCTTGGGCCCAGGGACAGAGGGTGCTGGGCAGGAACGGTGCGGGGGCGCCTGGTGGGGACGGTGGGGAGCGCAGGCATCAGCAAGGGGGCGGTCACGGCGACCAGGCCAGGATTCCGTTCTCCCTGCAGGTGGCCTGCGCCGAGCTGTGGCCCCTCACACCTACCGTACCCCAGAGTGTGCACAGGCCAGTGCACGGGGGCCGGCAGGGGCCGCGAGGCGGAGGGCACTGGAAGGCTGGCTGATGAGAGCCAGGCGGCAAGGAGAGGCCCGCGGGTGGCCGACAGCAGGAATCCGACCTCACCCAGGACAGCGGGCCCGCACGGGGGGCAGGTCACTGCCCAACGCCCAGTGAAGCAGGCAGGGGCCGCGGGGGGACACTCGGAGCTCACGTTCTCCCGCACACGTACACAGACCCCTCCGGCGCCTCGAACGCTCCCGGCCCAAGACCCCTGCAGCCAGGCCCCGGGCTTTAGGAAGAAGTCCCCCGGGAGGTCCGCAAGACCCCCAGCGGCACCCGCGGATCCCCAACAGCGGCGGGGGAGACCGCCGGCCCCACCAGGGCCGCTTCCGCACCGCGGATCCTGGTCTCTCTGGAGTTCGCAGCTCGAAGGCGCTTATCTCCAGGCTGGGCCCCCACAGTCTCCTCCTCAGGCTGAGGGCCACCCCTCCACCCCGCTCTGGCCCCCCTTCTGATGGACCCACAGCACGTCTGGTCACATTAAAATGAAATAAAACTAAGAGCCGGCGATCAGCTCCTGGACGGCCTCAGCCACACGTCAATGGCCGCCGACCCCGCGTGCTCGCGGACGCCGCGTGGGACCTCGCGGGTGGGCGCCCTGCCCAGGGTCTGAGCAGAGAGGGTCGGGCCTTCCCTCCCCTCCCACCCCCCGTGGCCGGAGGACAACGTCCCAGGCGGGGCAGTGCGACCTCCCGGCCCCCGGGCCCCCCCCAGGCCGGGTGCGGCTGGGGTGTGCTCGCTGCCCCAGACCCAGCTAGGGAGGGGGCGGAGCCACAAGGAAGGGGACCGGGGCGCGCTGGGGCGGCCGCGCGCCCGCAGCTGGGGCGGGGCGGGGGCGGGGCCGGCGGGCGCGCGGCGGGGCGGGGCCTGTGTGTGGGCGGGGCCGGCGGCGCTGTCCGGTGCTGAAGCGGCGGCGGGCGCGGGCAGCGCGGGGAGGAGCGGTGCTCGCCAGAGTCGGTCCCGCCGCCCCCGCCGCGCCGCCATGGACTGAGCGCCGCCCGCCCGGCCGCCGACATGGGGCCGCTGCTTGCGCTCCTGCTGCTGCTCCTGCTGCCACCGCGCACCGCACCCGCGCCCCGCGCCCGGCAGCTTCCAGGGCTTCTCGGTGAGTGTGTGTGTGGGGGGCGTCTGGGGGGGTGGGGGAGGGGACGCCTGAGTGAGGGAGGGGGCGGGGGTGGGGTTGCTCGGTGATTTTGGGGGTGGGGGAGGAGGCTTTTCGGTGGGTGAGGGCGCGAGGGGAGGAGGCTTCTCTGAATGAGAGGGGCGGGGGGGGGGGGGGGGGGGGGGGGGGGGCTTCCCGGTG